CGAGAACTAAAAAATAAAGATCAAAAATTCTGTCTCTCTCTCTCTCTCTCTCTCTCCTCTCTCACTCTCTCTTGAAAAATAAAATAAAATAAAATAAATAAATAAAAGAAAGCTGAAAAACAACTTAAAAGTCTAACAAGTTGGGGGTACAGATAAATAGTATACTAAATGAAATACTATACCATGAATAGATGATTATAAAGACCATAAGCTTAAATAAGAAAATAATTATGACATGTCTTAAAAATTGGCACTTGTAGTTGGATTGACCAAATGAAACAGTGCATATAAAGCATTTATTAGCCTGAAGTCTGCAGTTCATCTAAGAGCTCAGTAAGCGAGTTACCAGTTTTAAATATAGTATGATTACAGTGATCAAAAGGAAGGCAGTGAGGGAAGGAGAAGGAGAGGAAAAATAAATCACAAATGGAGTGTGGAAAGACTGGGAAAAAAGGAACCAAATGTTAAAATGGGTCTCTAGGTGATATTTTCTTCTTCTCTTTTTCCCCAAGAGGTTTTTATTTTTTTCCTTTTTTCTTTTTACCACCACAATTATATAAACCTATAGTTTAAAAAGTTATCTGCTGATCCAATGTTAACTCCTCTCCCATTTCCCTTTCTCTAGGGGCAAATATTTTAATTCACTTAGCTATTTTAGAGGGAGATATATATCTCCCTAATGAGCTTAAATTTTACCCTAAAAGCATGAAGAACAAGAATTATGAACAAGGGGCTGGGCTGTGGCTCAGCGATAGCGCACTTGCCAGGCATGTGTGAGGCACTGGGTTCAATTCTCAGCACCACATATAAATACATAAATAAAATAAAGGTCTATCAACAAATAAAAAATATTAAAAAAAAGAATTGTGAACAAGCAGGAAATAATACCAAGAATTAATAAATGGGATGGTATCAAATAAAAAAAGGTTTTTCAACTGCAAAGGAAATAAGAGCATGAAGTGAGAGCCTATGGAATGGGAGAAAATCTTTGCTAGTTACTCTTCTGACAGAATATACCAAAAAAACTCAAAAACTTACCACAAGAAAATAATAACCGGGCTAGGGTTGTAGCTCAGTGGTAGCGCACTTGCCTAGCATGTGTGAGGCCCTGGGTTCAATTCTCAGTATCACATATAAATAAAGTATAATAAACGTCCATCAACAACTAAAAAAGTATTTTAAAAAAACAATAATAATAACCCAATCAGTAAATGAGCAAATGAACTAAACAGACACTTCTCAGAAGAAGAAATACAAGCCAGGCTCGGTGGCAAACACCTGTAATCCCAGCAGCTCAGGAGACTGAGACAGGAGGATCATGAGTTCAAAACCAGCACAGAGCAAAAGTGAGATGCTAAGCAACTCAGTGAGACCCTGTCTCTGAATAAAATGCAAAATAGGGCTGGGGATGTGGTACAGTGGTTAAGTGCCCCTGAGTTCAGTCCCTGGTACCAAAAAAAAAAAAAAAAAAAAAAGGAAGGAGAAATACAAATGGCTAACAAATATATGAAAAAATGTTCATCATCTTTAGCAATCAGGGAAATGCAAAGCAAAACTACACTGAGATTTCATTTTGTTCCAGGTAGAATGGCCTCTGTCAAGAATACAAATAACAATAGTTGCTGGAGAGGATGTAGGGAAAAGGAAACACTATGACACTGTTGGTGGGATTGTAAATTTGTACAAATACTGTGGAAATCAATATGGTGCTTCCTCAGAAGCCCAGAAATAGAACCACCATATGGCCCAGCTATACCTCTCCTCAGTATTTATCCTAAAGAATTAAAGTCAGCCAACTACAGTGATACCTGCATACCCACGTTTATAGCAGCACAATTCACAATAGCCAAATTATAGAACCAGCCCAGGTATCTGTCAATGAATAAATAGATAAAGAAAATGTGGCATATATACACACTGGGGTCTTATTCACCACACAAAGAATGAAATTATGTTATTTGCAGGAAAATGAATGGAACTTGAGAACTTTATGTTATTTCCATTCTGTAGCTTTCATATATGAGAGAAAACATACAATCCTTAACTTTCTGAGTCTGGCTTATTTAAGCTACAGAGAAGAAGGAGGGAAGGGGGGAGGAAATCTCATGAAATGAGAAGGGGGACCAGTAGAGTAGAAGAAAGGACTAGGGGGAGGGAGGAGGGAGAGGGAGGGGGGGCATACTGGGGAATATAGTACATCAAACTGTGTTGTTTGCATGTACAAATAATGTAATAATGAATCCCACTATTATGTACAATTATAACACACCAATAAAAATTAATTAAATAAAAAGAAAAGAAGATTACATTAAAATCCTTCAGTCTGATATTTATCTGAAAAAATAAATTGTGAGTAGGGTTTTGTTAAGCAATTAAATCAATACAATACACATGCCCAGGACTGAGGTTTAGTTTAGTCACTGAAGAGCACATGTGCTTAGCATGTGCAAATCCCTGAGTACAATTCCCAGCACCAAATTTTACACACCACACACATAACTATATAGCTCAACATTTTACTCCCTAGACATTTTCCCATGAGAAAAGAAAACATGCATCTGTACAAAGACTCATACACAAAAGTTTGTGCAGCTTAATTTGTAATAAACCAAAACTGGAAACAACCTAGATTTATATCAACAGATGAATAAAGAAACTAATTGAGGTATATCCACACAATGGAATACTACACAACAATAAAAAAGAAACAACCCACTGATAAGTGCAACAACATAAATGCTTTTCAAAATAATTATGCTGAGTAAAAGAAGATGGAAAGATTACATACTATATGATCCCATTTTATAAACTAGAAAGTGCCAACTTATCTAATAGTGACAGAAAGTAAAACAGTGTCTGGGGACTGGGATTGGGATGAGCCAGAATGGATTTCAAAGGAACATAAGGAAATGTTGGCAGTTAATGGGAACTTTCGATATTTGGATTGAAAATATTGATGCTTCCATGGGTACACACATAAGTTTTGGTACAAACTTACCAAAATGTGCTGTCACATCTCACAACTAAACACTCAAGGTCACTCCAGATGAACTGGGTTGCATGAAATAATCACACAGAGACAGAGAAATACCTTTTTCTTTGGTCCTGTGACGGCTCCTCCAATATTAGGGGTCCATGGAAAGAAAGAGAGAGAGAGAGCACATGCTGAACCCTTTTATTGAGGAGAAGCCATTCAAATAAGGCAAGGGGTTAGGTTTCAGGTGGTGGAGTCTAGCTTCCTGATGTCTGCTGTCACAGATTGAGTGACATCTAGGGAGGCCATTCCCATCTCCTGAGCTGTGTGGGGATCATGGCAGAGCCAGCAAAAAGACCAGAGCCAGGCCCACCCACGCAGAGGGGCAACGTTGGTTCAGCCCTCTCTGTGCACTCAGTGCCCAGAGTTCACACACACACAGCCCATGGCTGGATTTTGCCACATCTCCACATTCTCATCCCTAGCACCAAAAAGACAGGCATCCATCCACACATACTCCTGAAGAATGAATCAGAGATGGGCAGCACAAATATCAAGGTTACCAGTAACTTCTGAGAGAAAATAGTTATGAGAGGTAAAAATGACTGAACATAATGACTGATCCAGGGGGTGAGGGAAAGGAGAAAGAAGGAGGATCTTGGGTAACACTGGCCCAAAGCTTGGCTGCTGGAAACAGAAGACAAGAATGAAAGAACCTGGGCTGGAGAGAGGCATGGCTTGTCTCGGGGCATGGTGTGTCAGGGATGGGCTGTAGATTGTGCATCCTAGTGGCAAACTCTAGGGGACAACTTGACATATGGGCCTGTCCAGAAATATATGTAACAGCCTGGAGCTGAGCTCTCTATCTTACTAACACATTTGCTATGTGTCTGGAGAAGGGCAGTTTTTGCATAGAGGCAAAATGAAGAGGAAAGTCTTGGGGTGGAGGAGGAAGGGAAAGAGGAGAGAAGAGAGAA